GATTTCCCCAAATGTGGGAAACTCGACTGCATAATTTGTGGTAGTGGGGAACTGCGTTCGCGCTCTCCCCTGATTTTGACTGTGTAAAAGCTAGAGTTTCTGTATTGTGCAGCTTATTTTTTTTGTTTGTTTTGTTTCGACGCGCTTTTGAGAGACAGTGCAGCGGCCCGGATTTTTCGCTGTGGCTTTCGGTGGTTTTCAGTAAGGCTTCCTTATCTGCTTCGCTGGGTGACACTGTCGGTCTTTTGTCCGTGCTGGGACGCAGGCGAGGAGGCGTTTCCGCGAGCGACGTGAAGGAGTTGTGAGTCCACGGGCTCACGGCGGTGAAAGGAGGAAGATGGGCGCGGCCGGCGAGTTTGTGTTTAAAGCTGCGGAGAGAAGACACGGAGAGTTGAATGGGTGGTGGAAAGAACGGACGCCTTCAGAGCCCCGGGTGGGTCAGGCCAGGCGGAGGGGCTCCGTGCTGGTTGCCGAGCAGCAGCTGGGGGCCGGAGACCCAAGCTGGCCAGGTGGTAGAACTGGGCTGGCTGGCGAAAGAGGAGTCTGAGCCCCCTAGGCATGGATGCACAACTACTTTGCACACCCGGCACGGGATTCTTATCTAAGCAATGAGGAGAAGATGGAAAATATCCCAGGATCCGGAACCACACTCGATCCATGAGGCAGATGTGTCATGAGGCAGATGTGTCATGACCACGATGGCCTGACTACGAGGCCCTGGAGAACAGGGGACTTGTGTCTTCTCTAGCGGCCCCTGGGAGGCCAGGCAAGAGTCCAGCCATCTAGAAAGGTCTTTCAGTAATGCTGGAAGAAGAGAACCGCCTGACCGCCTTCGAACATGTGACGTCCCAGGAGGAAACAAAGATTCTCTTGTGATGTTTGGGGTCACCATTTCTGACATGGAACTTTCCTCCAGTCGTAATGTTTGACCATCCTAAGCCCTATCCAAGCCTCCCCTCATCTCACGGCCACCGAGACGCATGTGCACGTGGTGTCATCTGATCCGGTAATGATCTGGCCACTGGTAGCCATTCATCACCCCTGTCCCTCAGTTTATCTTTGTCTAATACTTCCTCAGCTGCTGTCGTCAAGGTGGCCTCTAGTCAGCTCAGCCTATTTACTTCTGCTGTAAAAGAATTACTTTTTTTTTTTTTTTTTAATTACAGTCGGTTACAGGTCAGCTTGACTCTCAGGGCCAGAATCATCTTGCAGTGTCTGCAGGGGATCCAGCGACCACTCCTGTCTTACGCACAGACCCTGATTTTGTCCAGAGTACCAACATGCCCAGCTCAATTTCCTGACCACAGGACACAGTTCTGACCAATTAGACACAGGTCCCCAGGGAGGACATCTCCAGGGGAATAAAAAGGCCAAGCCTCTTTTTGAAGAAAGTCTTTCCCCTGTACCCCCTTTTTCCACCTGGAAGTCAGACTGTGAGGCCTGGAGGTGTAGCAGCCAACTCGGCACCCTGAGGCCACAGTCCCGCCCCGGAGAGCTTACACCGCGGCATGGCAGAGCAGAGAGAGGAGGAGCCTCCGGCCCCCGGGTCCCCCACCCCCAATAACCTGGGGAACAGCCACGCCAACCCCAAACCGCTACCCCTTCCCCCTCCCCCGACGTTCTGGGTAGGTGAGAAAAACAAGCTCTGCCTGTCTAAGCTGCTCATTGTCTTAGTCATCTCTAGCCAAGGTCCAATCCTGCCTCGTATAGAGAGTTCTCCCCTAATGTTTATGCTGCATGACATTTCAACGGAAAAAGAGGAGGGGTGTGGGTGGAGGTGGACATTTTCTGATCTCTACCCAGAAACAAGGTAAGATTCAAGTAGGGTTTCTATCCCTCCTTTTAAATCCTTGAATGGCAACCTGTCCCCCTGTCCGGCTGTGCTCCCCAGGCCTCTTAAACCAACTACTCACGTCCCCTTCTGTCTTACTCATTCTATTTTCTGCATTGTGCTCACTTCAAAGACATCAGTTTGAGCTCAATTTCTAGAGTTTTACTAGGAGACTGCAAGAATATTGCACGAGTCTTTCCAAACCCGCTACAGACATCTCACCCAGCCTTTGAGCCTCCCTCACTGGCCTGCACGTAGACCCACTTTCTTGCAATTTCAACTCCAGCCATCCTCCCCCTGACTGCATAAACCCCTCCTCCTGAACCGCCCCCCTCCCAGGCCATCCCCACTGCCTGGTAGCTTCCCCTTCCTCCTGGCCCTCAGGGCATGAAGCATCGCCCAGAGGGAGAGGGAAGCCCCAGGCTTCCCACAGCATAAACTTGGCTTCTGGGGTCCCACAGGATCATCTTGGAATACTGTACTAAACTCGTACAGTAAGTAGTAAACGAGAGCTTTTCCCCTATCACTTGGTGTCCTCCTGTTTCACCCTTGTGTCCCCCAGGCCATAGATGGTTAATAAGTGTAAAATGGCCACAGATGGTCAATAAGTGTAAAGTGGGCTGGGTGGAGGTGGCTCACACCTGTAGTCCTAGCACTCTGGGAGGCAGAGTCGGGAGGATAGCTTCAGGCTAGAAGTTCGAGACCAGCCTGGCTAACATAGCAAGACCCGTCTCTACAAAAAACAGAAAATTTAGTGGGGCATGGTGGCACACGCCTGTAGTCCCAGCTTCTCCGGAGGCTGAGGCAGGAGGTTCGCTTGAGCCCAGGAGTTTGAGGTTGCCGTGAGCTACGATGACGCCACTGCAGTCTAGCCCTACAAGAGTGAATCCCTGTATTAAAAATTAATAAATACGTAAAATGAACGTCTCGACAGCAGTGAATCCTAGCTGACTCACAGTGAGCTATGGAATGTTCCAACTGTTCTGGAGCCACAGTCTTTTGTATGCCCTTGAGGGAGTAATATACCTTCTTTGCCTTATTTGTTTTGTGAGAGGGCCTTGCATAGTGCAACTGTCAACTCCATACACACACACACTGTCACACTGTAATATGTACAGGAGTCTCCCGTTATCCGTGTGGCATACATTCCAAGACCCCCAGTGGATGCTTGAAACCTCAGATAGGACCAAACCTATATACTGTGTTTCTTCCTATACAAACATGCTATGAATAAAGTTTATGTTATAAGTTAGGTAGTGAGAGATTAACAATAACTAGTAACGAAATAGAACAATTAGAAAATGCTGTAAGAAAAGTTATCCGAATATGATCTCTCACAATATCTTATTGTATGGTACTCATCCTTCTTCTTGTGACCTGACAACCAAATGGCTGGTGACTAACGGGCAGGTAGCGTATATAGCATTGGATATGCCAGACAAAGGGACGATTCAGTGTCTCGGGGATGGCAAGAGATTTCATCATGCTACTCAGAACAGCACCAAATTTAAAAGTTACGAACTGTTTATTTATGGGATTTCCCACTTAACATTTTCAGGCCTCAGTGACTCCGGGTAATGGAAACCATGGAAAACAAAGCCGAGGATGAGGGGGGACCACTGTACCGCTGTTTCCAGTCTACTCCCATCACCACAAGCACTTTAAAAGTGTATGTCAGGGGCTAAGGGACACACCTTCCACTCTACCTCCTTTCCCGAAAAGACCCCCTCAGTTAATACAGAGTAGCAAAGGGTTAATGGAAACACCGGTAGCTTTTGGCCCTGTACTTACTACTTCTTAGCATTTACACAGCATCTTCTCATTTCCAAAGCACAGTACCATTTATTAATCCTCACAACACCCCTGTGAGGTAGGTCAGTATGTCCTTTATAGTAGAGCAGTGAGGCAGAAGGCAAGTAAACCTCCTGAACCTGCTTGAGGCCGCAGGGAAGCACGTGGAGGGACTGGACCGGAATCCGGAAGCTCGGGCTCTCGGTTGGTCCTGCATTTACCCACTGGTGGTCGAATGGGGGTGTGTGTGTGTGTGTGTGTGTATACATATATATGTGTATTTTTTTTCCTTTTGTCCTTCGTGTAACCTTCACTGGTAAAACACACAGATCTCTCTCAGCCAACAACAGAAAAGTCAACAGTTCAAATGGCATTGGGGAAGGCGTCCATTAAAGAGACAAAGCATTAATCGGCACGTGAGGCAAGAGAACGTGCCGCTGAGAAAGGGTGGAATTGGCATGCATGACTGGCGATGAGGCCCAGACCAGGGATTCAGGATGGTTTGGCAAAATATAAATAAACTAGGAACTGATCCAAGGGGTGACCAGCCCAAATGCCTGTGGTTTCCAAATGGGAGAAAAATGAGAAAAAGACAGTGGAAAAATCCACCCTCTCAATCTAATTTTGAAGGAGGAATGACAATATGGTCACTCACAACAGAAGGGCCAATGGTATTTGTAATATAACTACTGGCAATTAGTATACTATCTGTACACCAACTTTTATCCCAAATATTCTACTCCCACCCACCCCCTCCCTCACACAAGTGCTACTCCTCATAGCAGACCTCGTTCCCTCTACAGACTTATCTATACACCGGCATGATACCACCAGGTAGCTCGATGGCATGTCTCTTGGTTAATTGGCAGAGCTAGGGTCGGAATCCAGGAATGCGCAGCAGACTGTATTCTGCTCCTGTATTTTGGAAAGAGCTGTCACTAACCTGCCTCTGCCCAATTCCACTTTCTTTTTTTTTTTGAGACAGAGTCTCACTCTGTCACCTGGGCTAGAATGCCATGGTGTCAGCCTAGCTCACAGCAACCTCAAACTCCTGGGCTCATGCGATCTTCTTGCCTCAGCCTCTTGAGTAGCTGGGACTACAGGCATGCGCCACCATGCCCGGCTAATTTTTTCTACTTTTAGTAGAGATGGGGGTCTCACTCTTACTCAGGCTGGTCTTGAAGTCCTGAGCTCAAGCGACCTTCCCGCCTCAGCCTGCCAGAGTGCTAGGATTACAGGTGTGAGCCACCTCGCCTGGTCCCAAATTCTGCCTTTTATGAAGTAGACACAGAGGAGCAGTTCATTCTTTTGCAAAGAAATCAGGGAACTTTGTTGAATATGCCATTTTAGAAGAAAGAAAAACTAAGACCTGCACTGTAAAGCGTAATACAGGAGTAGATTTATTATAGCTACTCCACATTTTAGAGAGTGATACAATGATCACATGGTTAAAAACTATCACTGTTATCGCTGTTTATTTTACAATAATTGGTTTAGTCTACAAGTTTAAGGCAAACATACTAATAATGCATTTGCTTTTCTTCAGAAATCATACTTATAAAGATTACATAAATTCTGTCCCCAAACATCTAAGAAATGTTCATTAATTAAAAATAAGTCTGGTTAAGATGCTTTACCAGGATACATGAATGAACTAAGGTAGTATACAATGCTTTTTAAAAACAAAATTAAAAAAAAAAACCTCAAGAAAGGCAATCTTTATCTTGTTTGGACGGTACATTTTGAAAGGGTTAAACTTCAAAAATTATTTAAAGTTAAATAAGATTGGCAGCCATAAGGAATACCATTTATAAAATAAACACATAGAGGCTACTTTGAAAAAGAAAGAACTTTGGACTTCTGAGTAGGATGAGCGCCGATGATGGGCAGCTGTTGGGGAGCACAGTGCTCCACCACACAGACTGGCTTCACCTGTGCACGGCCCCGCCGTTGCTCGGAAAAGGAAGAGGAGATCCACTCTGTCAGCTGTTTTTTGTTTGTTTCCAGTGAGCACAAATGCCTAAATCATGAAGAAAACAAAAATAAAATTTGAAGGAAGGCAGCCCTTTGTAACAGGAAGGCGGAGAGTGGCTTATGTGTCTCCATTTAACACTGCCAGGCAGTTCTGCAGCAACTGTAGGTTACCCTGAAAAGGAAGGAAAAGTACAGGATGAATGTCTTGAGAAGAATCCTACTGAAAATATACAATGTTAGTAATCACACAACTTTAAGTTTGTTAAGCTATCAGAATTTCAAGAGCAGCTATTCATTATATACAAATAAAGGCTTAAAGATTGAAAATTACACAATTTGTTTTCTGTACAATATTTTCCACATACCAGATTCTGCAGCAGACCATTTCTACCTAGACCATTATGAGTGTTTTGGATTACCTGACAGGTTTAAGTGAGGATAAAATATGCCCTCTGTGTCCAAGTGGAACTACGGAACAATTTCTGATTGTGTGACAGGTTCTTACCCCTTCTTTTTAGCCACTAAACCAGCCATTAGCATAGATTTATAGAAGTTTTAATAAAAATAGTATGATTACATACAAAGTATCCTATAAAATTCATAGCTAAGTAACCATTTGTAGAACACATGAACGTGCATCCACATTTAGAGCCATGTGTAAAGGCAAATACATTTAGGTTACATTAATATATAAAAGGGGGAGAGCTCTTAATTACAGCAGAAAATCAACTAAAAAGTATAAAGAGTGATGGAATTAGAAAATCAACATTTGGCAACCATCACAATCGTAACTGATTCAGGCAAGAATCATCACTGGATGCTCAAATTAGTGTGGGCCTGCACTGCTTAACTGTAGCTGTTAGCTATGTGTTGCTATTTAAGTTTTAAAGTTCCATCCACTAACATTAAATAAAAATAGTAAGACTGAGTTCCTTAGTGGCACTACCCACATTTCAGGTACCCACATTTCAGTTCCCTAACGACATGGCTACCATACTGAGCAGGGCTGACTGCAGAGCATTTTCACTGTTGCACAAACTTCTCTTGGAAAGCGCTGGTTAAGTGATGGGATATTACACACCCCCAAAATATCTCCCCACAGAATACTTAATTCAAAAGTGCAAAATAATAACTTTGCCAATGAGAAGTCTGCAGTTAACACTGTCAGCAAGACAACTCATGGACAGCATGTGCCTCCTGATATGATGCAATGAGAGCATCATATCTGTGATATCCCTACCAAAAACGCACACCCCGAATCCAATCATCAGTGACCCTCAGACAAACCCAAATTGAGGGACATTCTATAAGTAGGCCTGTGTGCTTCTCAAAAATGTCAGTGTTTTGAAATACACTGACTCAGGAACTTTTCCTAATTAGAGAAGCCTAAAAAGACATGTGCACTAAATGCAACACATTATCTTGTATTTCCTCTTGCCATCGAGGACATTACTGGGACAACTGGTGGGACAGGAATAAGGTCTGTGGATTAGATAATGGCACTGTATCAATAGTAATGGTCTTTATAATTGTACTATGGGCATGTAAAAGAATTACTTGGTTTTAGGAAATTCACGTTGAAGTGTTTTCGGGTGAAGAGACACCATATCCCATATCTGCAGCTTACCATATCAGAACTTAAATAGTTCAAGAAAAAAATAAGCATGTACAAGGGTGTGTGTTTGTGTAAAGAGAAGAAGGGAAAGAAGAAGGGAGAAAAGAAGTGAGGGGGGAGAAAGAATAACGCAACTGTGACAACAGGCATATCTGGAGAATCTGGGGGAAGAGTATCTAAGAATTCTGTGTCTTCTTAGAACTTTTCTGGAAGTCTGACATTAAGTGAAAATTTAAAAAGAATTTTCTTTTCCAGTTTTAAGTGTTTAGGTTGCTGTCAATTTTTTGCCAGTATGTGGCTGGGCACAGTGGCTCACACCTATAATCCTAGCACTTTGGGATGCCAAGGTGGGAGGATCACTCGAGGCCAGGAGTTCGAGACCAGCATGGGCAACATAGGAGGACTCCGTCTCTTAAAAAAAAAAAGAAAAGAAAAAAAAGAAAGAGAGAAAGGGCAAAAAAATTAGCCAGGCATGGCAGTGCACACCTGTAGTCCCAGCTACTCAAGAGGATGAGGCTGGGAGCCCAGGAGTTCATGGCTGCAGTGAGCTATGGTGGCACCACTACACTCCAGCCTGGGTGACAGAGTGAGACACCATCTGTGAAAAAAAAAAACAAAAAAAAAACCCCCCCAAAAACAACTATAACAAATGACTTTGAGCATCTCCTTTCTTCTTATATTTATGAAATCTTTTTTTATAATTATAATAATTGAAATCCAAAGTAGTTTCAAACTATCCTATTGTAAGTTTTGACTAATGTCTAGTTTTGGGGAATAATTTATGTGAATTCTGGGATCAAAACAGAACTATTCGGGTTTACAAAATCATTACAAAATCTCAGACTCTGGGTTTCTCAACTGTGGCACTATTGGCATTTGGGACTGTACAATCCTTTGTTGTCAGGACTGTCTGTCCTGTGCATTGTAGGATGTTTAGTAGCATCCCTGGCCTCTATCCACTATATACTGGGAGTAACCCACCCTCATCAGTTGTGATAACCACAAATATCTCCAGACATTGCTAAATGTCCCCCTGGGAACCACTGGAACAGCACCGTTATGAGAAATCTAAATACAGAAAAGTCATGTCAGAAAGAACTTGAAAAAGAAATAGAATCTGGAAATCAGAGGCTGACGTTAATCTACAGCAGGAATCAGCAAACGTTTTCTGTAAAAGGCTAAATAGTAAATATGTTACGCTCTGACAGCCATATGGTCTCTGTTTCAACTACTCCACTCTGCTACTACATGAAAGCAGTCATAGACAAAAGCATCCATGAATGAGCTTCACTGCATTCCAATAAAACTTTATTTATAAGAACTTTAAATTTGAATTTCATATAATTATCACGTCATATTATGATTCTTATGGTTTTTTTTTTTTAATAATCATTTAAAAATGTGAACACCATCCTGGCTCGCAGGCTATACAAAAGCAGATGGGCTGTAGTTTGCTGACCCCTGACCTAGAGCGAAACTCTTCATCATTCATGACTTCTTTACAAAAAAGAAATACAGTGAATGGTAGAGACCAACACAGGCTCTGTAAGAGTATATAACGCCAAGCTTATCAAAACATTTTCTTTTGATAGGGTCATTAGACCACATACTCAGACAACATATATCTTGATTTTAATGATGAATCTGGTATTTCTTATATTCTTCAAGAATAAAATGTAGAAATAATGGTTGATGAGAGGTGAATTCATAACTATTTGAATAACTATAACCAAAGAATAATTAATTAATAAATCAATGCCAGTAAGTACAGAAAGGAAGGGATGGAAAGATGTAAGCATTTTTTTGGTGCCAGGTACTTCTGCATATTTACAATTAGATTAACAGATGTTGGTCCCTGTGGTCCTTTCCTGGTTCTTTATTAAATCAAAACTTTCATGAAGACATAAAGGGAAAGTTCATACAAATTGTAAATGATGCTCAACTACTATGTAATCAAATCCAAGTTTCAAAAAAATCATGACGAGGGGGGCTAAAACTAGCAAGCTAAAATTTAACAGACATAAATGTGAAGGTGGCCATTAAGGTTAAAAAATTAAATGAACCAGTGAAAAAGTTCTGGAGATCTGTTACACAACAAAGCGAATATTCTTAACACTTAGATATGGTTAAGATGGTAAATGGTTTTCCACAATTAAAAACAAAAACATTAAAAAAATTAAATGTACAAACTATAGGTTGGAAGTTCAAGAACTTAATTTTAAGGGGAAAAAAAAAAAAGTGTGATCATCAGCCAAATCAAGCCAGTGCAATATGGCAGCTAAAATAGCTATATCTTATACATACAAAAAAAGGCTGTAAGAAGAAATATGTACAACGATTAGTCCATGTGTGAAAAAGTGTATCCATTTCAGGGTGTAATGTTTTTGAAGATTTTTATTTTATTTTATTTTTTTTGAGACAAGAGTCTTGCTCTGTTGCCTGGGCTAGAGTGCTGTGGTGTCAGCCTGGCTCACAGCAACCTCAAACTCCTGGGCTCATGCGATCCTCCTGCTTCAGCCTCTGGAATAGCAGGGACTACAGACATGTGCCACCACGCCTGGCTAATTTTTTCTATTTTCAGTTGTCTGGCTAATTTTTTTTTTTTAATTTTTAGTAGAGACAGGGTCTTACTCTTGCTGAGGCTGGGCTCGAACTCCTGACCTCAAGAGATCCTCCTGCCTCAGCCTCCCAGAGTGTTAGGATAACAGGTGTGAGCCACCACACTCGGCCTGAGGGTGCAATGTTTTAAAAGTGTAAATGACAAGGAGGACAATATTAGAAAAAGCTTGCTGAGGTATAGGGAATAAAAAATATTTAGCCTTAAGGATGTCTAACCTGGAGGAGAGAAGATATACAGGGAATATTAAGTATTCAAGTATGTGAAGGGCTAAACTATCAAAGAGGAACTAAACTTATCTTTATTATTTTACATAACTTTGACCAATATCAAAGTGACAAGATACAAATTTATGCTCATTATAGGGTGCCCCAAAAATCTTAGTGCAGTTTTAACCCTTCAATAACTTTAGAAATGTAAATGCTATAAATGTTATCCAAAAGTAACATTTAAAAGTTTATTTTAATTTCTTTTAAACTTATTTAGTTTTGAGAATTTTGAATACATTTTTAATTTTCACAGTCTGACTGAAGATAGCAAACGTTAAATAAATTTATTAATAAAATGATGTTTTCATTAAGGAAGACTTTTTTTTAAGACAAATAGTCAATAAGTGATCCTGGTTTCAATATTCAGTAGTAGATTCTTTCAGAGCTCACTATGAGAGACGTTATAGACATTATTCTTACTTGAATTAAATGATCTTTAAAATCCCTCTCAATTCTAAGATTCTCTATTGTTAATATTACTCTAAGATTTAGGCCGAGTGTTATCTTAACTATAAAAAGGGGCTGAATTCAAAGTATACAAATACTGTAAAAAAAAAACCAGAGGGCCAGGTGTGGTGGCTCTTAAAAAAAAAAAAAAAGACCACAAAGAGGATACTATCTACTAAAACCAACTATTTTGAGGTAGTGGAATAATGTTGAAAAAGGTAATTCCAATTCAGGAATACTTCTCACTGTATGACTATCAAAAGTAACTGTCATTGAAGGATTATCAATTTCATAAGTGATTCATTTCTAAATGACAATGTCACTTAAGTTATTAAATCTTTGATATGACACTACCTTTGCATGCTTCAATTCTAACTCTGCCAGTTCCACTAAATTTTTTCTGAAGGCAGCAACTCTTCTTGTCTTAAAATCTATAAGTTCTGCAAACAAAAGAAATTAGGGTTAACTATGTAATTTACACAAGAGTTAAAAAGCAAACCTTGCAATTAAAGGTTAATATAATAGTACCTTGTTTTGCAGATTCAGATATTTTTTCAAATTTCTGACAACATAATTGTTGGGAAGTTTCAGCCTGTAGAACATCTTTATTTTTTGCTCTTGCTTTATCCAGTGCTTTATTAGCATTTTCATAATCCACTAGTGACCTAGATCTTCGGTAGAGGAGATCCTATAAAACAGAATGCTTCACAATAAATGATGCTGCATGTTTTCTTGTAGTGTCCACTTCACCACCACCACCACGAGGGCTTACACGACAGTGAATACTACATGCCAGTTTCTCTTCTAAGTTGTTGTTTTCTGTTTGTTTTTGTGAGACAGGGTCTCCCTGTCACCCCAGGCTAGAGTGTGGTGGTGCAATCACAGCTCACTGCAACCTCCAAGTTCCAGGCTTAGTGATCCTCCTGCCTCAGCCTCCTTAGTAGCTAGGACTACAGACATGAGCCACACCATACACAGCTAATTGTGTGACACAGTATCACTGCGTTGCCCAGGCCGGTCTCAAACTCCTGGCCTCAAGCGATCCTCTTGCCTTGGCCTCCCAAACTGCTGGGAACACAGGCGTGAGCCACCGTGTCTAGCCCTAAATGTTTTTTTAATAACAGCTTTATTGATATAATCCACATACCATAAAACTCACCATTTAAAATATACAATCCAGTAGCTTTTAGGGTGTTCGCACAGTTGTGTAAACATCACCACAATCAATTTTACAACATTTTCATTATCCAAAAACCCCCCCATACCCATTAATAGCCACTCTCCATTCCCCAGCACCCCTGGACCCCTGTATCCCCCAAGCCCAACACAACCACTCATCTGCTGTCTCTACAGATTTGCCTATTCTGGACATTTCATAAAAACAGAATCATGTGTTTTTTGTGTTTGGCATCTACCACTTAAGCATGATGTTTTGAGTTAATCCATGTTGTAGCATGAATCAATATTTAATTTCTTTCTGGGGAATAATATTTTGTATGGATTTATAGAGCAATCATTGCTTTATTCACTTATCAGTTGATAGGCATTTGGTTTATAATCACTTTTTGGCTATAATCAATAATGCTGCTATGAACATTTACATACAAGTGTCTGTGTGGACATGTTTTCATTTCTCATTACCTAGGAGTAGAACTGCTGGATCAGATGGTAACTCTACATCAAAGCTGTTGAGAAACTACCATATTATTTTCCAAAGTGGATGCACATTTTACATTTCCACCAATACCACTAGAGTTGGCCAGGCGCGGTGGCTCACACCTGTAATCCTAGCTCTCTGGGAGGCCAAGGCGGCGTACTGTTTGAGCTCAGGAGTTCGAAACCAGCCTGAGCAAGAGCAAGACCCCGTCTCTACTAAAAATAGAAAGAAATTAATTGGACAACTAAAAATATATAGAAAAAATTAGCCGGGCATGGTGGCGCATGCCTGTAGTCCCAGCTACTCGGGAGGCTGAGGCAGGAGGATTGCTTGAGCCCAGGAGTTTGAGGTTGCTGTGAGCGAGGATGACACCACGGCACTCTAGCCCAGGCAAAAGAGTAAGACTCTGTCTCAAAAAAAAAAAAAAATACCACTAGAGTTCCAATTTCTTTACATCCTTGCCAACACTTGTTGCTTTTTTTTTTTTCTTCAATTAAAGCCACCTAGTGGGTATAAAGTGATTGTCTCCTAGTTTTGATTTACATTTCCCTAATGGCTGATGATGCTGAGCTTTTTTTTTTTTTTTGAGACAGAGTCTCACTCTTTTGCCTAGGCTACAGTGCCATGGCATCAGCCTAGCTCACAGCAACCTCAAACTCCTGGGCTCAAGCGATCCTCCCGCCTCAGCCTCCCAGAGTGCTAGGATTACAGGGATGAGCCATCGCGCCCCATCATTTCTAAAAGAAGGAAAAAAATTCACACTTGAATATATAATTTAAAATCAGGAAATAAATCATTAACAGTCTTAAGTCTAACAACATCTAAAGAAATGGCTTTTCCTAAAATAGCTCATTTTACACAACAATGAACAATAAAGTTACCTTAGCAGCTTGAGATTCTCTTAAGTAATATTTTAAAAGATCAGAAAGCTTGAGGTCCTCATCAGCAGACACTCGTGCTTCTATTTTCTGAAAAAGGGGAAAAAATTGAGTATTTAATCAGCAATTACATTCTGCTCTCAGCATTTTCTTTCTTAATAAGTACTGTAAAAAAAATTGGAAATTATAAATAACTATAGTATCCATTCCTATTTCCTCTAGGTTTCCTTCCCTTTTCCTTCTTACTGTTATTTTTCTTTGCAATTCTGACAAACAGGAAAAAAAGATTAGAGCAAATGAGATTATTAAATTTATGGAAGGACTCTATATTTGATTGAAGTACTTGGCTATAACAAGTTCCAATATCATCTTTTAGCTTCACTAATATTATATTTCCTCTCTATTCATTTCAATTGTAATTAATATGTACACACGATTTTATTTTATTTTTTTGAGACAGAGTCTCACTCTGTTGCTCAGGCTAGAGTGCCATGGTGTCAGCCTAACTCACAGCAACCTCAAACTCTTGGGCTCAAGTGATCCTTCTGCCTTAGCCTCCCGAGTAGCTGGGACTACAGGCGTGCGCCACTATGCCTAGCTAATTTTTTCTATATATTTTTAGTCGTCCGGCTAATTTCTTTCTATTTTCAGTAGAGCCGGGGTCTCACTCTTGCTTAGGCCGGTCTCAAACTCCTGACCTCAAGCGATCCTCCCACCTTGGCCTCCTAGAGTGCTAGGATTATAGGCGTGAGCCACCGCGCCCGGCCTGTACACACGATTTTAAAGTAATAAAGGCTGGCAGTGGTAGACTAGGTAATTCAAATCAATCCTGCTCAGGAAAAGTAGGGAAGCTAGTGAAAGCATTAACGACTTGTGCTTGAATACTCCAAACAGTAATAAACAGATGTGGTAACTTGGAGCTGGGATGGAAAGGGAGGTAGCTAAGTCAAACTAAGAAGATGAGAATTCTTTACTATGGAGAGACAAAGGAAAAGATGTATCATAATAACCAAATGCAATAGATCTTGTTTTTATCCTGAGTCAAACAAATTTCACTATAAAATGCCATTTATGAGACATTTGGGAAAATCTGTATACTGGTTATCTGATGACAGTAAGAGTGAATCATTGGCTGGGCAAGGTGGCTCAGGCTTGTAATTCTAGCATTATGGGATGCCAAGGTAGGAGGATCACTTGGGGTCAGGAGTTTGAGACCAGCCTGAGCAACACTGAGACCCCGTTTCTACCAAAAATAGAAAAAATGAGTCAGGCATGGTGGCTGGCGCCTGTAGTCCCAGGTACTCAGGAGGCTGAGGCAGGAGGATTACTTGAGCCCAGGAGTTCAAGGTTGCAGTGAGCTATGATGCCACTGTGCTCTAGCGGGGGTGACAGAACGAGACTCTATCTTAAAAAAGAAGAGTGAATCATGGATGATAGTATTGGCTATATTAAAAATAATTTTCTCATCCAAGTGCTAACCCAGGCCGTAAAAATAATTCTAATCCTTAAAAAAAGAGAGAGATGTGCACAAAAGGCACAAAACAGAATGAATATGGATTTTTTGGAACAGAAAAACTTTAAGCAATTCAGAAAATGTTAATATTTAGGAAATCTGGGTGATGCACGTGCAGGAATTCTTTGTACTATTCCTGCAACTATTCTCTAAGTCTGAAATTACTGTGCAAATACAAAGTAGATAAAAACAAAAACAAACCATACACTGAGCAGTACGGCTAAAATTAAAAAGGTGGAAATATCAAGTATTAATGATTCAGTGGAGCAACCTGAATGCTCACATTCATTTTAGTGGGAGTGTGGACTGGTACAATCACTATGGGAAACAGTTTGTCAGTATCTACTGAAGCTTTTCACATGCATACCCCATGACCCAACCCATCAATTCCCTTCCTAGTTAAATATACCAAACAGAAATGCATACTTATATTCAGCAGAAGATATACAAGAATGGTCTTAGTGGTATTATTTTATGGAACCCCAAACTAGAAACTATCCAAATGCCTACCAACTGTAGAATAAACAAATTAATGGAATACTATACAGCAATATGAAGGAACTGCCCCTACATGCAACAACATGGATCAATCTCATGAAAATAATGTTGAGTAAATGAAAGTCATAAAAGAATATATACTACATAATGCATTTATATAAAATATAAAAACAAGCAAAACTAATCTCTACTGTTAGAAGATAGGATACCACTTTCTTGCAGGAAGTGGTACCTTAGAAGGCAGCCAAAGCAGGGGCAGCGCATATGGGCTGCTGATAATGTTCTAATTCTTTTTTTTTTTTTTTTCTGAGACAGAGTCTCACTCTGTTGCCCGGGCTAGAGTGCCATGGCATCAGCCTAGCTCACAGCAACCTCAAACTCCTGGGCTCAAGCGATCCTTCTGCCTCAGCCTCCCGAGTAGCTGGGACTACAGGCATGCGCCACCATGCCCGGCTAATTTTTTTCTATATATTTTTAGTTGTCCGATTAATTTCTTTCTAATTTTAGTAGAGACGGGGTCTCGCTCTTGCTCAGGCCGCTCTCGCTCTTGAACTCCTGACCTTGAGCGATCTGCCTAGGATTACAGGCGTGAGGCACCGCGCCCAGCCAATGTTCTACTTCTTGATCATTGGGTGTTGACTGCAAGGGAGTGTTAAATTTGTAAAATTTCTCTGAGCTCTATACTTTTATTATGTGCTCTTTGTTATAGGTATAATACACTTCAATAAAAAGTTAAAAAAAGCCGTGAAGCTTCTTAAAAAACATTACTGTATGGAAAAATAAATGCATGGAACTTCTTAACCTAACAGATAAGAGCACAAACTATACTCAAAATCGATTCATATAAATTAATCAATATCATGCTAGATAGATACAGGGTCTTTTTGTTTTTTGTTTTTTTGTTTTTTTTGAGACAGACTCTCGCTCTGCTGCCCTGGCTAGAGTGAGTGCCGTGGCGTTAGCCTAGCTCACAGCAACCTCAAACTCCTGGGCTCAAGAGATCCTACTGCCTCAGCCTCCCGAGTAGCGGGGACTACAGGCATGCGCCACCATGCCCGGCTGATTTTTTCTATATATTTTTAGTCGTCCAGATAATTTCCATTTTTTTTAGTAGAGACGGGGTCTCGCTCTTGCTCAGGCTGGTCTCGACCTCCTGAGCTCAAACAATCCACCCGCCTCGGCCTCCCAGAGTGCTAGGATTACAGGCGTGAGCCACCGCGCCCGGCCGATACGGGGTCTTTTAAAATATGGCTCATCTCTTTCCATTAAGAAGTAGGGGTCTATATGCTATCCCCTTGAATCTGGCATCTAAGTCTGCTTGATCAATTTAGCACAGGTGCCACTATGCTAGTTTTCAGGCCCAGGCCTTAAGAAACTAGCAGCTTCTACTTCCTGTCACTTGGGATTGCTCACTTTTGGAACTGAACCACCATGCTATGAGGAAGTATAAGCAGCTTCGTGGAGAGGCCACATGTAGGTGTTCCAGCTGATAGCCCTAGCAGACATCTTGGTTGATAGCCAGCATCAACCCCCAGACAAATTAGTAAAACAGCCTTCAGAAGATTCCAGCCTTCTTATTTTCTAAGCTGCAGCCCCAGACATCATGAGCAGAGGCAAGAAATCTCTGACCTTCCTCAATTCCTGACCCAAATAATTCATTAGCATACGTAAAATGGTGGTTATTTTATGCTACTGATTTTGGGATAGTTGTTATAAAGCAATAATAACCAAACAACATACAGACCCTAAAGGAAATGATTGTGGTGGCCATGGGAAATATGCCACCCAGATCTCCTTCAAGAGAAACTGCTTGCTGCAATGAGAATAGTTGATTCATGGCCCAGCTGCAATCCTTCTGCATCTAGACCCACGTTTATACCAAGCCTATGCTCCAACGTCCCTGTCTCCCCCCATGCCTTGGCTGCATCCAGCCAATGACAGAGCATAGGGCACAGGAATGCCAGTCCATTTTTGGCCTGATGTGGAACTCAATTAATGGGCAACTGTGGCTCAGGGACTCCCTTCCCACCTACTGGAAACATTCTTAGAGCTGCACTACAGTCTGAGACTCTCCCTATCTATTCCTCCTTCCTCTGCTCTCTCCTTTACAGGTGAATACTTGCCCTGCAGTCTGAAAGCTCTTCCTGCTTACACCTGCTCCTTCCTCTTTCCTTCTTCACAATAAATCTCTTTTACATCTAATCCTATCTTGATGTCTGCTTCTCAGAGGACCTGAATTGACGTAAGGCTATTTGTAATAGGTCCCTATTTTTTTTATATAAATGCACAGAAAAATTACTCTATCTTCCCAGAAATGCTCACTGGTACAAATATTAAAGGCAGAATAACAGGCTATGTAGACCCTAGTGTAACAACAACTATTTATTTTTTCTTTGTGAGAGTATCTCCTTTTCTTTTACTCGTCTCCACTTTATATCACTCATTGGCAAAGTCATACGGAAATCAACTGTTACACTGGACTAGCAACCAGCACTCTCAGCTAAGTACCACTGAACATCTAATAAACATTTCCACTACTCTATACACTGTAAAAATGTTAACTATTATTGTATTAATAGCTAGGTCTCATCCACAAAAATCAAGATGATGTCAACATTAAATTATTACAACCATGAGTGCAACCTTTCCATAGTATGTCTCAGGGGATCAAAGGCAATACAATCTCGGTAAAGTTATTAATATAATTAATCCAAGACTTTCTCATAAAAATAAACCCAATCTCCATAATGAATGTTTTCTGATTAAGAATGTGAGCTTTTACATAAATACCAAAAGGCCATAACAAAAATTCAATTTCCTGAAAAACTCGATGGAATTCAAATCTGTCTCATCATCCTTTTGAAGCATATTCATCACCTCAATAGAGTTAAACACAACCACAATTTAAACACTACTATGTGCAGAGATCTAGATTCGCAAAAGTTAATATTAATTACTCCTTTTTATAAAATTTTTTATTGTGGTAAAAATACTTTTCCTCCCCCTTTTTTTTTCTTTGGTGGCGGCAGGATCCGCAAAGGCCTGTGGTAAAAGACACTTAACGTGAGATCTATAGACACAATATTATGTTAAATTCTCTAGAATTTAGTACTTACTCTTGTTTTGTCAAACAGTTCTGAAACTTTGAGAAAAAACCTAGAAGAGAAAAATATTTTCATCAGAAGCTACATTTGAAATAAATTTTCCATTTCAAGTGTTCAGAGAATATGCCCCCAAACCATATCTATAATGAACATTGTCTCATTATAGCAACATTCAATGGTCTTGTTAACTGCAGACTTCATTTAGTTCAACAAATATCTCCCTATACTTTCACCCATATAGCAGATGACTTGAAATCTGTTGTTACAGAATATCTGTCCATTTCATTTTAAGCCATACATTAAACTTATCTTGATATTCTTTTTTTTGTTTTTTTTTTTGAGATAGGGTCTCACTCTGTTGCCCTAGGCTAGAGTGCAGCGACATAATCATAGCTCACTGCAGCTCTAAACTCCTGGGCTCAAGCGATCTTCCTGCCTAAGTGTCTCCAGTAGCTGGGACTAAAGGCACACACAACCATGCCTGCTAATTTTAAAATTTTTTGTAGAAATGGGGTCTTGCTATGTTGCCTAGGCTGGTCTCCAACTCTTGGCCTCAAGCAATCCTCCTGCCTGGGCCTCCCAAAGAGCTAGAATTACAAGCATGAGCCACTGCACTTCGCCTATCTTGATATTCTTTAGCATTACACTATATAATACTAAATAAAGCCTACACCTTCAAAATTATTACAGAAATACAAACTAATCACACTGAAATACACAAAAGGCTGATTTTAAAGGAAAATATCAAAGTTGGAGTTGTTCTTGAAGATATCTGATAGTTATGTTTTGTTTGTTTTTTTTGAAAGACAGAGTCACTCTGTTGCCCAGGCTAGAGTGCAGTGGCATGATCATAGCTCATTACAACCTCAAACTCATGGACTCAATCCATCTTCCAGCCTCAGCCTCTTGAGTAGCTGGGACTACAGGGGCGAGCTACCATGCCCAGCTAATTTTTTCTATTTTTGGTTGAGACGGGGTCTCACTCTTGCTCAGGCTGGTCTGGAGACTCCTGATCTCAATCTATCTTCCCACCTCAGCCTCCCAGAGTGCTAGGATTACAGGTGTGAGCCACAGCACCCGGCTAGAACTTGCTTTTTAAAAATTATGTTAGATAACATAAGTCAAGGTTGACTTTTTTCTTCTTATGAAAGATTTACAAATTAATTTTTTGGGGAGGTAGCATGTTAATTAGTGTAAGCTATTGTACTTTGCTTTGCTGAAGAGCTTGGCTCTTAAATGTCTACTGAGATGGGATACACTAGAGAAAAGTTCAAGAATGTGGTTGGAGAAAGGCACGGACTATGAAAATAGTTTTCCCACTTAAAAACTGTTTAAAAATATGTTTGAGGCTGGGAGCAGTTTCTCACACCTATAATCCTAGCACTGTGGGAGGCCAAGGGAGGAGGATCACTTGAGGCCAGGAGTTGAGATCAGCCTGAGCAAGAGTGAGACCCCACCTCTACAAAAGAACAGAAAAATTAGCCAGGCATGGTGGTGCATGCCTGTAGTGCCAGCTACTCAGGAGGCTGAGGCAGGTCGATTGCTCGAGCCCAGGAGTTTGAGGTTGCAATAAGCTATGATGACGCCATTAGCCTGGGAGGCAGAGCAAGACCCTGTCTCAAAAAAAAGTCTGAATTATTTTTCAATAAATAGGTTTAAATGATATTATAGGAGCAACTAAAATTAACTATTGTTAGATAACTAAAATTCAAGTAAAAATTAGCATAAATAAATAACAATTGTGTAAGTAACATTCCAGAGATTTTCTACACTAACATGCAAAATATCTTCTCCATCAAGTCGACCTAGGATCGCCCTAAGATTCACTAAACTATAAAATAGAATAGCCAGGCTCTTTCAAAAGTGAAAACTGATAGCATCAAAGTTTTACTTTAAAAATCGACTTGACCTCTAATGAAATACATACACACATGTACTTATATATACACATATATATGAGGGGTCTTCCAAAAGTTCATGGAAAATGAATATTATGAAAAAACTCTGCACGGATTTCAAAATATTTTTGCACCAAAATAAACTCACACTAACCTGTTATAACATGGTTGAAAAAGATCTAGTTTGAGACATTCAGAAGGATGAGACATCAGTTTGAAAAGAGCCCTATCAGAGCAACATGAATTCTGCTAAAATTGAAGCAAGAACAAACATCAAATTTATGGTGGGCCAGGCATGGTGGCTCATGCCTGTAATCCTAGCACCCTGGGAGGAGGAGGCAGGACGATCAGTTGAGGTCAGGAGTTTGAGACCAGCCTGAGCAAGGACGAGACCCCATCTCTACAAAAAGTAGAAAAATTTGCTGGGCTTGGTGGCACATTCCTGTAGTCCCAGCTACTTGAGAGGCTAAGGCAGGAGGATGGCTTGAGTCCAGGAGTTTGAGGTTGCAGTGAGCTATGATGACACCACTGCACTCTAGCTGGAGTGACAGAGCAAGACTCTGTGTCCCCTCCAAAAAAAAAAAAAAATTCTGGTGAAGCTTAGATGGAAGAATGACGAAATCATTGATGCTTTATGAAAAGTTTATGGGGACAGTGACCCAAAGAAATAGGCAATTTATAAATGGGTAACTTGTTTTGAGAAGGGATGAGATGACGCTGAAGATGAAGCCTGCAGCAGCAGACCATCCACTTCAATTTGTGAGGGAAAAAACTAATCTTGTTCATGCCCTAATTGAAGAGGACTGAAGATAAACAACACAAACACTAGCCAACACCACAGACATCTCAACTGGTTCAGCTTACACAATTCTGACTGAAAAATTAAAATTGAGCAAATTTTCCACGGGATGGGTGCCAAAACAATTGTACCCAGATCAGTTGCAGACAAAAGCAAAGCTTTCAATGGAAATTCTAAACAAGGAGCTCAAGATCCCGAAGCATTTCTTTAAAGTACTGTAAAAGGAGATGAAACATGGCTTTACCAGTATGATCCTGAAGACAAAGCACAATCAAAGCAATGGCTACTGGCCAGGTAAGGTGGCTCTCACCTGTAATACCAGAACTTTAGGAGGCCAAGGTGGGAGGATTGCTTGAGCCCAGGAGTTAGAGACCAGCCTAGGCAACACAGTGAGACCCAGTTGCTTTAAAAAAAAAGAAAAAAAACCACACACAGGCTGGGCGTGGTGGCTCACGCCTGTAATCCTAGCACTCTGGGAGGCCAAGGCAGGCGGATTGTTTGAGCTCAGGAGTTTGAGGTTGCTGTGAGCTAGGCTAACGCCATGGCACTTACTCTAGCCAGGGCAACAGAGTGAGACTCTGTCTCAAAAAAAAAAAAAAAAAAAAAAGCCACGCACAGTGGCATGTGCCTGTAGTTCTAGCTATCCAGGAGGCTGAGGCAGGAGGCTTACTTGAGCTACAGGCTACAGTGAGCTATGATCAGGCAACTGCCCTCCAACCTGGGTGACAAAGCAAGATCCTGTCTCTTAAAAAAAAAAAAGCAATGGTTACCAAGAGGTGGAAGTGGTCCAGTCAAAGCAAAAGTGGATCAGTCGAAGAGGATAATTGGGGATGCTCAAAACATTTTGTTTGTTAACTTTCTGGATGGCCAAAGAATGACAACATCTGGTTATTATGAGAATGTTTTGAGAAAGTTAGCCAAAGCGTTAGCAGAAAAACGCCTGGAAAAGCCTCACTAGAGAGTCCTTCACCACCACAACAATGCTCCTTGCTCATTCCTCTCATCACGTAAGGGCAATTTTGTGAGAGTTTTGATGAGAAATCATTAGGCATCCACCTTACAGTACGCGTTTGGCTCCTTCTGACTTCTTTTTGTTTCCTAATCTTAAAAATCTTTAAAGAGCACCTGTTTTTTTTCAATTAATAATGTAAAAAAGATGGTTTAATTCCTAGGGTGGCAATTTAAGGGATGAAATAAATGGCTTGTATCAACTGCTTGCAAAAAGTGCCTTGAACTTGATGAAGTTTATATTTTTTATTTTTATCTTTTAATTCCCCTTTTCCATGAACTCTTTCAAGTCCTCTTGTACATATTCTAATTCCCAAATAGTATTTCTTACTTATGAAGCCAGCAGCAGCAGACCATTCAATTTGTGAGGGAAAAAACTAATCTTGTTCATGCCCTAAGAACACTCTGACATAAATTATCTCTCCCTCTCTCTCTTACACACACTAATCAGCTCATTTTCATCAAATAAAACATAGGAAATATTAAGATTATATATTAAAGTCCACTTTTATTTCTCATATTTAAAAAATATGAGACAAAAAGAAGAGAAAAAATGCTATAACCCAGTTGATGAAGAAGCTCCTATTAACAATGTGTTTTGACAAAAATTTTTCAAAATTTCTATCTGGATTAGAAGTACTGTGTGTGCCCAGGCTGCCAAAAGAAATTTTTCTCTGTTTTATTTCTATTTAATGTTTTTAACTAGAATACTTACTTGCATATATCTGTAGAATCTTGAGTTCCTAAAGCATATAATGATGAACCAATTCTATTGTAATCATCTGCAGCACCTATGGAGAAATTTTTAAGAATTTAATATGTTTATTTATTCATTGATTTAAAAATACTTGGCCAGGCACAGTGGCTCACGCCTATAATCCCAGCGCTTTGGAAGGCCAAGATGGGATGATCACCTGAGGCCTGGAGTCTGAGACCAGCCTGAACAACATAGTGAGACCCAGTCTCTACAGAAAATAAAAATATTAGTTGGGCGTGGTGGTATGCTTGTTATTAGCTATTATATACTTTCCCATGATCATCCCTCTCTAGTAGCAAACAGATATCCACTCTCCCCTTAGCTGATCACTGCCTTTCCACATTTCTATTAATTGACTTCTACTAGAGCAAGCTTTTTGTTCTCATCTCCATTTAATCATCACCACCACCACGACTCCTTTAAGAACTTGTCTGACTCTTATCATCTTTAATTGTTACATTCTTTTCTTCAGCCTGGGCAACATAGCAAGACCTCATCTCTACAAAAGATTAAGAAGACCTATAGTCCTAGCTGAGACTGAGGCAGGAGGATTGCTTGAGCCCAGGAGTTCGAAGTTATAGTGAACCATGATTGGACCACTGCACTTCAGCCTGGGCAACAGAGTGAATTCCCCAACTCTTAAAAAAAAAAACAAAAAACAAAAAACCATAAAAAATCTTACTGAGCCACCTACCTGCCAAACAATGTGTAATATGAGATACCCAAAATCTAGTAAACAACACAAACAACCATAATACAGTATGATGAATATTTTATTAGACATAGTTAAAAACTGCTTTGGAAGCAGGGAAATAGGTGATTCCACATGAGTAAGCCAGGGAAGGACTTATACAAACTACAGAATGATTAGAAGGAGCTTATAGGATGAACAAATCTTTATCAGGCAAAGGGAGAGCATTTTGGATAAAAGGAACAGCCTGGGTAAAGGCCAGGGAGGCATAAAAGAGCATAGTGTATATAGTCAGTGAGCAGGGACTATGGTACAGCAGAGTACACAGATGAGTGGATGAAGCTGAAGATAGAAAAAGTTAGTTGGAAGCACCTTGGGAAAAAAGATCTTGTAAGCCATAACAGAATTTGGATTTGATCTTTGAGAAATGGGTGTTATGTACCCGGCACATAGTAACTACAGTACTATATAAATATTTGCTATTATTAACCAATGAAGTCTAAGATACTTGTATGGAAATTCCCACTTACACTAGTAGTTATTCTTACAAGTGTTTATTCCCTAACAAAATATTATATTTTATAATATTATATTATTTATATTATGCTTATGTTGCACAAAATTACATTCAACTAATAAGGCTAACATTTGGTGACTCTATTGATTGCTACTTAAAGCACATATATTCTGACACCTTTATAAAGAGACTTTGAATACAAACTTCAGACTCTAAATGATAATTTCTATAGGTGAGATTCTTCACTATTATCTTAACCTAAAAGTTTACTTTTAAGAATAGGCCAGGCTCAGTGGCTCGTACCTGTAATCCCAGAACTTTGGGAAGCTGAGATGGGAGAATTGCTTGAGGCTGGGAGTTCAGGACCAGCCAGCGCAACACAGTAAGATCCCCTCTCTACAAAAAATTTTTAAAAATTAGCCAGGTATAGTGGTGCAAGTCAGTAGTCCCAGCTGCTCAGGAGGCTGACGCAGGAGAATTGCTTAAGCCCAGGAGTTTGAGGTTGCAGTGAGCTATGATAACACCACTGCACTCTAGCCCAGGCAAGAGAGCGAGACCCTGTCTCAAAATAAATAAAGAAAAAAAGAGAGAATGAATAAATAATACTTTTTTCTTTTTGAGACAGGGTCTTGCTCTCTCACCCAGACTGGAATGCAGTGGTGTGATCATAGCTCATGGAAGTCTCAAAATCTTGGGCTCAAGTGATTCTCATGCCTCAGCCTCTCAAGTAGCTGGGACTACTGGCACGTGCTACCACACCCAACTCGTTTTTAAAAATTTTTTGTAGAGACGGGGTCTTGCTGTGTTGTATTGGCCAGGCTGGTCTCAAACTCCTGGCCTGGCCTCAAATGATTCTCCTGCCTTGGCCTCCCAAAGTGCTAGGATTACAGGTGTCAGTCACTGCACCCAGCCAAGAATAAGTAATACATAAAAATCACGTAAAGGTTGGTTTAGTAAAGCAGAAATAAAACAATAATTTTTTGTTTAATACAAAATAAATCAATATTTTATGATTAAATTGATCCTGAAATAATTTTTTGCAGGAAAAAAAAACATGAATTCTAATATTTGGCTTGGAGAATTACTACCCTCTTTAGCTATTACAGCACTATGCAATCGTGCAAAACACACAAACTGCCCTGATTCTATTGATTAGAATTCACAATGAAATTGAAAAGCTTAATTTTTCACAGTCCAGGTTTAAGTACATTTATTATGAAAGAATAGTTTTACTATAAACTTATTATTTTGTAATACAGGTTCATTATCCTCTCTCTTAAAGCAATGTTCCATATGGCCAAATAAATGGAATAGGAATCACTAATATTTTCTTCATTTTCTTTCTTTTTGGAGACAGAGCCTCACTCTGTCATCCAGGCTAGAGTGCCGTGGCATCATCCTAGCTCACAGCAACCTCAAACTCCTGGGCTCAAGCAATTCTCCTGCCTCAGCCTCCTGAGTAGCTGGAACCACAGGCACACCTGGCTAATTTTTTGTTTCTATTTTTAGTTGCCTGGCTAATTTTTTTTCTATTTCTAATAGAGATGGGGTCTCACTCTTGCTCAGGCCAGTCTTGAACTCCTGACCTCAAGCAATTCTCCCCTCCGGCCTCGGCCTCCCAGAGTGCTAGGATTACAGGCGAGAGCCACCCCGAGACCAGCCATCTTTTCCTTTTTTTTTTTTTTTTTTTTGAGACAGGGTCTCATTCTGTCACCTGGGCTAGAGTACAGTGGCATCATCATAGTTCACTACAACCTCAAACTCCTGGGCTCCAAGCGATCCTTCTCTTGCCTCAGCCTCCTGAGTAGCTGGGATTACAGACACACACCACCACAGCCAGCTAATTTTTCTATTTTTTGTAGAGACGGGGTCTTGCTCTTGCTCTGGTTGGTCTTGAACTCCTGGCCTCAAGCAATCCTCCCACCTCTGCCTCCCGAAGTGCTAGGATTACAGGCCAGTTTTCTTAACAGATGATTCTCTACCTTTGTAGTTCTCCCTGTTTCCATAGCATTAATACATATCTCTATGACAGGACTTAAGTCTAACACAATGGCTGGTACATAACAGATATATCAATGTTATGAACAAAATTAATTTTTCAAGAAATATAAAAAGTATAGATTTCCACTGCATAGTAATTCCTAATAATTATAATCAACACTTATATGTATCATTTCATATTTATAAAGTTTTAAACAAAGGATTAAAAGTATATTTTATCCTTAATGTTATTTTATAAACAAGGAAATTAACATAAGATCAATTAAATGACTTGCCCAGGGCTCTAAAGCAAATCAGTAATAAATCTAGTAAGATATTCAAGTTTCTCACTTTTTTTTTTTTTTTTTTTAAGAGAAGGGGGTCTCGCTCACACCGCCCAGGCTGGAGTGCAATGGCTATTCACAGGTGCAACCATAATGTACTGCAGCCTCAAACTCCTGGCCTCAAGCAATCCTCCCACCTTAGCCTCCCCAAAAGCTGGGATTATAGGTGCAAGCCAGTGTTTCATAGTTTTTAATTATGGAATCGGCAAGTATAAACTACTACATTAGAAGAAATCTAGAAAGCACAAAGATATAAGAAAATAAAATATAAAAATAACTCTTAACCTTCCCATAAGAATTACACAAGAACAGAGATTATCCTGCCAGACTTTTTATTTCTTCCTTTCTATTATGGCACATCATAATACCCCAGAATGTAGGTTAATAGTTATAGTTACTTACTCTAGTGATTTGTCTCTGTATCAGAGCTTCTCAAACTTTTTGGTCTTATAACCCTTTTATACTCTTAAAAATTACTGAGGACCCTAAAGAGCTTTTGTTTATATGGATTATATCTATCAATATTTACTGTA